ATTTCAATCTGATACAAGTCAATAACAACAAATCTATTTCCAAAGTTACATTATATGAGGAAAAACTTAAAAGGTTTCCCTCTAAAATCAGGAAAGGATATTCACTATCACCACTCTTATTCAATATAGTATTCAAAACATTAGCCACAGCAACCAGGCAAGAGAAAAGAAATAAAAGGGATATATATAGGACAGGAAAAAGTCAAATTATCACTGTGTGCGGATGACTTGATCCTCTACATAGAAGATCCAAAAAGTTTCACCGAAAGACTCCAGAATAACCAAGTTCATTAGCATAGTAAGATATAAAATCAAATTAAAAAGCTTCTGCACGGCAAAGAAAATAACAGAGTGAAGAAACAACCTATAAAACAGGAAAAAAAATTGCCACCTATTCCACAGACAGAAGACTGTGGAATTCTACATATTCTAAATATGTAGAATTTATGAAGAACTCCAAAAAATGACCCCCTTGGACTACACCGTGAGCTCAAGGCCAGCCTGAACTACATAGTGAGACCCTGTCTCAAGGGGGAAAAAAAAAAAATCCAGCTTCATCACCAAATAGGCATGCTCTTGAACAAGATACTCAATCTCTTCTGCCTCAAATTCCATACCTGTAAAATAGGCATGCCTTGTTCATTAATTCCACAACCATGACTTACGACTCCGGGCCGCCAGCCACTGTGCCAGGCCCGGGTTTACCACAGGTCTCGCTGTGTAGCTCAGGCTGGCCTCGAACTCGTGGCGATCTTTCAGGCTCAGCCCAGGTTCAGGGACTTGCAGCTCTCTGTCGATCCCTCCATTCCCAGGAAGAAAGGGCCTCGGCCTGTGCAGAAAGACTCTCAGACAAGCCCTTTGCTAGGTTGCCAGGACGGAGATTTCTTTACCTCCAGAAACAAAAATATCGACACCTTCCATCCTGGCAGTTCATTTAGGAGTCTGAAACTAGGGATTTCTTTCAAATTTGGACGTAGCTAATTGAGGAGCAACAAGACCTAATGGGCCAAATACTGGAAATAAAACATGCCAGTTCAAACTAGTACTTCTGGGAGAATCTGCTGTTGGCAAATTGAGCCTAGTGCTTCATTTTGTGAAAGGCCAGTCCATGAATTTCAAGAGAGTACCATTGCGGCTGCTTTTCTAACCCAGACTGTGTGCCTTGATGACATAACAGTAAAGTCTGAAATATGGGATACAGCTGGTCAAGAAAGATACCACAGCCTAGCACCAATGTAATACAGAGAAGCACAAACAGCCATAGTTGTATATGATATCACAAATGGGGAATCTTTTGCAAGAGCAAAAAACTGGGTTAAAGAACTCCAGAAGCAAGCAAGTCTTAACACTGTAATAGCTTTATCAGGAAACAAGGTTGATCTAGCAAATAAAAGAGCTGTAGATTCCCAGGAAGCACAGTCCTATGCAGATGACAACAGTTTATTATTCATGGAAACATCAGCTAAAACATCGATGAATGTAAGCGAAATATTCATGGCAATAGCTAAAAAGTTGCCAAAGAATGAACCACAGAATCCAGGAGCAAATTCTGCTAGAGGAAGAGGAGTAGACTTCACTGAACCTACAGAACCAACCAGAAGTCAGTGTTGTAGTGACTAAATCTCCAGTTTGAGTGAGCTGGAATCTTCTGCTTCCTAAATGTTAATAACAGTGGAATTGGAGCATTTAACCAGCCCAGTATGACTCCCAAAAACCAAGAGACTTATGATAGAGTCAAATTTGTAACACAAAATTATTTTAAGTGTTTTGAACTTGATTTTTAATAATATGCATGTGTCCCTCTGACTAATGTTTCAGCAACAGAAAGGGAAAATGAGATCTGTGTGTAATTGTTTCACTGGAAAGTTGGAGGTAATCATTTCTCATCATTAGAAATAAGACAAATGACTATCTGGACCCACAGTTAACCATCTAGTTTCTCCAAACTGGGACAGTAGACATGTGTGAAAAAATTAGAAATTATTAATTTGGCCTTTCTGAAAAACATTTTTAGAAAGATATAAATATATTTATGCTTAGCTACAATATTCAGGCAAACTTTCTTCTGTTATCTGAGGTGTACATTCCACATTTTAGTAAGTTAACCACAAGAAAACAGTCCCACATTTCCAGGAAGAAAAGGAGTATTAATAGCATCTAAGTTATAGCCCATCTTACTATTTTTCTAAATGGGGTAATAAAGTCAAATGGACCCCCACTTTGTTTAGCAATATGAAAACTGATAAATGCATTTTATTGAATAATGTTCCCTCCATGTGAGCTCTTCAAAAAAAGAAGTAAACCAGGTATCTGATTTTTTTTTTTCAGTCACTGCAGGCCACTACATAGGTCTTGTTTGGGGCAGGAAAATATGTAATTTGTTCCCTTTGGACATAATACAGTCAGTGCACTAACAGTTACGTACATTCAAACTTGATTGTTTTAAATTTTATCTTCAGCTGTACTGTAAATAGGGTACTGCACTATAGCCTCCATGTATATTATTTTTCTGTAATATTTAATAGTTGCTTAAAAGTATACAAAATGTACAGTTACTAAAACAGTTAATTCTTTCACCCTTTGCAAAGAAGGGGCTTCAGTTACTACAGGGCTAGAACCATAATAAGAAATGTATCTGTAATTTGTAATGTAAATATTACAATGTTTGTAACAAAAAAGTGACCCTCCCCCAAAATAAAAGACCAAATCGAAAGATGGACAACTGAAATGAACAGACACTTTTCAGAAGATGTAAAAATGGCTAACAAATACTTGAAAATACGTCAACATCTCTGGCCGTTAGAGAAATGCAAATTAAAACAACACTGAGATATTGTCTTACTGCAGAAAGAAGGGCTATTATCAAGAAATCAAACAATAACAAATGCTGGTGAACCTGCTGGGAAAAAGGAACCTGTCTACCCTGTTGGTGGGAATGTAAAGTAGTGAAATCATACAATATTTATCACCTTGTGTCTGGCTTCTTTCACTTAGCACAATGTTTCCAAACACTGTAGAATATATTAGAACTCTATTCCTTTTAATAACTGAATAATATCCCACTACGTATATATCTTGTTTATCCTTTTGTCTGTTGATAGACACTTGAGTTTTCTAATGTGCCTCATAAAATGACATAAAATAATTACATTTATTTTATTTAAATAACTTTATTCTTAGACAAAGACTGGATATTAAAAAATGAAATTTATATTAATATAGTATAGTTATATAATTAAATTTGAATGGGTTTTACCAATATTACCTCCGATTATTTCTAAATTGTTGTTGTTGTTGTTGTTGTTTTCCAGTACCGGGAATCGAACTCATGACCTCGCACTTGCCAGGCAGGTGCTGTGCCGCTGAGCTAAGTCCCCAGGCCCTCTAAATTATATTTTAAAAGACCATCCGTTTAAAGTATGTAGTATAGTGTCTGGTGTATAGCAAACACTCAAAAAATTTAGCAGATCTAAAACAACCTGTTGGCTTTAAGACATCTGTTAGCTTTCTGTTACTGTAATGAACACATGAGGAAAGGTAATTCTGCAGCACAGCTGGGGGCTCCACTGTGGTTGTCTGGCCAGGTGCTTTCGAGCGTAGGGCCGTAGTTCATCACGGTGGGTGCATGCTGGAGGAAGGCAGCATCTCATGGCAGGAGGAAGCAGGAGGACACAGAAAGTCTTGGGCAGAGCTTTAATGCCTACTTCCTTCACCTAGGCCCTGCCTGCCACAGGTTCCAACACACCCCTGTGTGTTATGGGAAGGGGACCAAATCTTCAGTACTTGGACCTTGGGGACGTTCAAGATGGAAACCACAGCATAATCCTTGTTAAAATAAATTCTGTTTTAAAATTTGAGCACAATCTCAGGCAAATTTTTAGCACAGTGTTATTTCACACCCTTGCAATAGAATTCAATCATTTCAGAGTCAACTGACCAGCATTTATAGGCTATCTACCGTGTGCCGGGAACTATTATGGAAAGTAAGACTGTAAGGATTATCCAATTCCAGCTGTCAGTTTATCAGGGAAAAACTGAGGCACAGAGAGGGCTAAGTGATTTGCCCATAGTCATTCAAACTCTAAACAGGAGAGATTCTGTTTCTGCCACCTCTCTTAAAGTAGCAGCAGTTGGTAGATGCACGTGACTCGATCAGACAGTTTACTCCACAGGAGACGACTGTGCCTATGACTCTAACAGTCCATTCAAAAGCTGGGGTTCTCCCCTTGCCTATGGAGTAGACTTAGAGAAGTGTTCATAAGGAGTGCAGAAAAAGGTGGACACGGCAGTGTGTAACTTTGGAGACCAGGTCACAAAAGGCACCATAGCACCCTACTCGTTCTCCTCCAGATTACTGCTCTGGTGGCGTGACCCACTCCATGTGAGGACAGCAAGCAGCCCATGCTAATGCCCACCCTCCTGGCAAGGAACAGACCACACCCAGATATGACCCTGAGGCAGAAGCCCCCTGCCCCCACCCCAGCCCTGCCCTCACTGAGGGTCACATAGATGAAATGTAACCGTGTTAAACTGCTAGATTTGGAGGGAACTTATCACATAGCAAAAGAAAACAAATGCATTCTCTTACTAGCGCTTTGCTTTCACACCTGCCCTTCCTTGACCTCCCACCACACCCTATTTTATAATGCATCTTATAAACACATTATAGACACATTTTAGCTGATGTGATTGCTATGTTTTAACAGATTTATTGATATGTGATATACCATAACACTGGCAAATTTAAAAATTGTGATAAAAATCTCCATTTTCACCATTTTTAAATGTACAATTCAATGACATTGGGCCAGAGATATAGCTCAGCAGCACAAGCGCCTGCCTGGCAAGCACAAGGTCCCGAGTTCGATTCCCAGTACCAAAAAGAAAAAAGAAACCTTCAGCGACATTAAGTGCATTCACGATGTTGTGTAGCTATCAGTATTGGCTAGTTCCAGAACTTTACCATCATCCCAATGGAAGGCCCATATACATAGCTGACATTGTTTTGAAAATATTAATTTTATTTTGTCTCTCAAATCTGGAACAATCATGTAGTAACAGAGATAAACCAGTTAATAGTTAAATAAAACTTTATTTAAAGGTAAACAATTTTGGAAAGAAATAATAATATGTCTAATGACAATGCAAATTTTTTCATCTTGTGTAGAATAAGAAAATCTAATGAGTTCTATTCTATTATGGATAAAATAAAACCTCAATTTTTTTTAAAGAACACAATTACTATTTAGAACTCTAAATCCATTGAATGTGAGACATGCCCAGTGTACACAACAATCAAGGACAACCAAGGAATCGCGGACAGCTGTCGAGGGTGCAGCAGGCAGAGCCAACAGATGTCCTGTGGCGCTGGCCTCCAATCTTAGAACATAACAATGGAAACTCTAGTGGAAAGAAAACAGGACAAGCAGGCTCAGTGAGCCCTACTATCTGCCCTGGGCTTTGGAGTGAGATGGCATTTGCCCAGCTGTTTGCCAACTCAGCTGCTGAAACAGATGTCACTAGCTCTAGCACCATTTCCTTCCAGTGGTCTTGTTTCAGTATAGTACAAGGTAACTGTGACTGGGAAATACCACTACTAACTAAAAGAAGGCTGTATGATCGGGATTTAAATCATATTATTTCATGGTTTTAGTTTCTAGTGTCTTATGAAGAATGGAAATGAAGATCGTTGACAAGAGAGAATCTCAGCAGGGCAAGTTCCCTTCCGTCCTGTGGAGAAGACACCACAGCCACGCTTCTACATCTTCTACAACTGCCCAGTTACACAACAGCAAACAGGACAACAGTGTTTGGGAGACGCTGATGTTAGCCCTGTGCTCAGCACACCGGATGAGCATCTCTCCTGGTGTGTGGTTTTCCCCTTTGCTCATTTGTTCATTCACTTATTTTAAACCATGTGCTGTCTTCCACATCCTACGCGCTGTCCCAGGCACTGATGATAAGCAGTGAACTAAGCAGCGGAGCTAGTGCAGAAAACACAGTGTTTGCCCCGTTCTCTGAGTGTGATACTCTGCAGCTAATCTGAACTCCCCACCTTAGCAGGATGTGGACGGGCCTGAGAAAGGACTGCAGGTCAAACTATACATCTGCTTTCCCTAACTACAGGTCCCTAATGGAAGCAGACAGAGAATGAGAGACACAGCGCAAACCTCTGCTGTACCTAGGCCAAGTGCCCACCTCTGTATCAGGAAGAAATGACCCTTCCTGGGGTTTCTCAGCAATGCTCGGAACAGAAGCATAGCTGGCACTGAGTGAGGACAGAGAGCCACAGTCACGATGGTGAGCTTTCATGCAACTTAGGAAAAACCTCGCTGGAGAGATGCCACAGATCCAGGTGCCCCCCCGGCCCCCAGTCCTCCTGGTGTCCTCCAGGGGCACAGAATGACCCAGCCACATTCTCTGGGCAGGGCTGTGGCTTCAACATTAGGGGCCAAGGAAAGTCAGGGCTCAGCATGTTCCTCAACTCAGGGGCTGCTCAGAGTGGAGAGCAAGGCAGCCTTCCCAGCACCGGACGCTGGAGTGAAGAGGAATGGCAAGAGGAGAGCCACAGGGGAGCTGGGGGTGGCAGGAAGTCTAGACAGAATGAGCAACGGCTGGGGGTGAAATGTAGGGTAAAAACACATTTCTTTATTGTAAGAACCCAAACCAAAATGTTGGCACATTGCCATACTGGCCTTTAAGGAATGAGCCTTGCACTCCGCGATGAGATGTGTGGGTGAGAGGTGAGCTGAAGGGGTCATCACCACCCGCTGATGGGGGAAGCCCTGGCCAGCAGAACCCAACAACTGTCTGCCTGCTCCCTTGTTACAAGAAATGTGAGTCACTCCAATAAAACCCGCTGTTGGCAGAGCGATCGCTAACATCTGACTTATGAGGCAAAAAGAGCCAGCTGCTCTAGCCCCCAGGACTGAAGAAGAGTATCCAACATCAAGTCCCCAGCTGTCGCACAGCTGGGAGGCAGAGATGAGCCAGCCACCCGCCTGCAGACTCAGCGTGGGCCAGCAGCACCAGTGCTCAAGTGGTCTGACATGCACCAAGGGTTGAAAGTAGACTCCCCGGTGTAGTTTGGGAGCAAGAGAAGGGCTGAGTGGGACAGGGGCCAGGTAGGTAGAGAACAAATGGGATGAGAGGCCACAGCAGTCAAAGCCTGAGGTCCAGCGTGCAACAGAAAGACATTTCTGCCTCTGTGAAATCCTACATCCAGGGGCCCCAGGCGCCGGTGGCCTTGGGGTCGCAGCGGGGGTCCTGCTCCGGATAGTGCACGGGCACTGAGTGTTTCTGATAGAACTGCAGCCGGCCTAGGAGTTGCCTGACGAGGTGGGGATGCTCTCCGGACAGGTCGTGCCTTTCTTCTGGGTCTTGGTCAATATTAAAGAGCCACAGGCCCTTGGTTGGGGGGTCTGATGAGTGCACCTCAGAAACACCGTATTCAGACGGTGGGGGGAACCAGGATCCACAGCCTGAAGGAGAAATGAGACTGTTTACCAGGGGAGCAGCGGAGGGGCAGGTTCTGATCCCAGAGAGTCCAGGAGGGTCCTCCTGGTTTAAAGTGTGGATGGTTCACAGTATGCAGCACTCGGGCTGTCTCTAGATTGTTCTCACAATCTGGCTTCAGGGTATTGATAGACACATTTTGCTGTTTTACAACTGGGGACATGCAGAAATGTGTGTGTGTGTGTGCGTGTGCGCGCGTGTGCGTGTGCGCACGCACACACATGCAAGGGGACATTTAGTTATCACAATGGATGGGGGGGTTAGGGTGCTCCTAGTATTCAGTGGGCATGGATCAGGGCTGCTAAGAAATCTTACAATACATGAGACAGTCCCAAACGATGAATCACCTTGTTAAAAATGCCCAAAATACCAAGAATATGCCATTATAAATGTCTGCTGTTTTTTTTTTCCTGTCCGGGGCATGGAATTAAGGGCCTTGTGTACTGAGATGCACTGAGCTGCACCCCCAGCCCCATCTCCATTCTCAGCACTGCATAAGGCATTGCAGCCTTCGCCACCTCACCTCGCACTGATGAAGGATTCAAAGGACATGGAGCTAGAGGATATCGTTAAGGAAGTGGCCCAGTTCCCAGGTACACCGCTAGGGAGGGTGTGGCTCTCAGGGACTCTGCTGACTGGGTTTGCTGTTTGACTGCCACACAAACCCGAAATCCATATTCTCCATGAAGTATTTCCAACAGCATTTCTTGCTTTCACACCTACTACAGCTAATTCCCAATTTGTGTTTGTTTGCTGGCTTCTGTTTTTGGCAGTACTAGTCAGTGAAACCATTTCTTTTCATCTTGAGACATAACAATGGAAGCTCTGGACCTGGAAACATGCTGAATCTTAAAAGTAGGACTAGCAACCTCAGAACACTTTCCTGTGATACACATCAAGAAGAACCATGTAAGATTTAAAGGACACGTTAACCTTTCAGGGGGCTCAGGAGTCTTAAGGAGATAGGTGGTGATTAGAATAAGAGTGATAGTGTCCTCTCTTGCCTGAGAAATGACCACACGAATAAAACACCAAGAGCACGAGTAACCTGGAGAACTGCCCTAGGACCAGGGCAACCCAGGCCACTGCAGGAAGGGACATCAATTAAGCTAAGCATGCTACCTGGGAAGCCGGTGAGGAGTTTCCAATTTCTATGTCTGATTGCAGCATGGATAGAGGTGTTAAAGGCTGAATATTCTAGAAGAGAAGAATCATCTTTTGCTGGAGCTGTGCTGTTCCTGGGACCTGGGAAGAAACAGTTTGTAAGAGTTAGATTGCTGTTATTGGAACGTGGAGTTATAAATCAGCACTTTTATATCCTTCCTGCAGAACAGTAGCTCGTATTCAACACTGGAGTGCAAATGTGTGTCCTGCCACAGAAATGAATCTCTTATTAAATATAAACAGAAAGCTATAGTTACATTAAATGTCAGTCATAAACCACCACAAATATAAAGGAAATCCCAAAGAGATTAGAATACTAATTCATCCCTAAAATCACTGTGCTCTGCCAATGTGCAGCTGGCCATGTGCAGAACAGTGTTCTGTTAAAGCACAATGAGTTGATTTTTGGTGATTGTTTTTGGCTTATTTTGCTCATAAATGTGTAAATTATATTTTCTGTGTATATGTACAATAAATTATAAAATGCACATTTAACGGAGCCTATCTCAATGTAGGAAAGTTCAACCATGCCTCACTCTTTAATTCATTCATTCATTCATTCCTTCTTTCTTTCGCAGCAAGGGGGATTGAACCCAGGGCCTCACACTTGCTGTGCAAGTGGTCTACCACTGAGAGAAATGTCAGACTTTTTTTGATTTTTTTAGACAAGATCTTGCTAAATTGGGATCCTCCTGCCTCAGTCTCCTAATTAGCTGGGATTACACATGTGTACCATTATGTCTGGCTGTATAGATTTATTTTTCAACCACATGTATGAAATCTAAATAAGTAACAATGCTCACTCAGGTAGTCAGAATAACTAGAAGAATAAATTTGGTATACAAATGACTGGCATTGTCATGGATTACATTAATTTACTGTAAGACCTCAAGATGATTTTAAGGGGACCGACTGCTAATACCTACACACTTTTGAGTTTGGAATCAGTAAAGAGGGAGTGACCAAGCAGACGGGGCTAAAGATACTGCTTTTGTTACTGATAAAGTCAACGGAGGGGACACGGCTTCAGACTTGTGGCAGAGCTTCCGCTAATAAGTGACCTTCAGTTTAGAAACATTCAGCCACCACCGGTGATCTTGCCAGACGACCTAAGGGCACAGAGCAGGCCAGCAGACATGCAGCTCAGAAACTCAACACGAAGGCAGGGCTGAGCGAGCTCCCTGAGCTCCTCCTTTGGGCTCCCTCTGCGCAGCACAGCAGAGAGGAGTCGTGGGCGGGGCTCTAGCTGAAGCCCTCAGTGCACCCAGGGGGAAGGGTGGGGGCTCCCAGACCTCACTCCTTTGTATCCAAATTTAAAAGCCTCAACTCTGGGCCTCTTCACCTTGTTTTAAGTTCACATTTCTCTGCTAACTTTTCAAGTAGTTGCAGCAGTCCCTTCGGGAGCACTTCAAAAGGCTGCTGGCCTAGTAACTAAGGGTGCGTGGGGTGTCTGTCCTCAGCTGGGTGCAGACTGAAAAGCGCACGTGCCTGCAGTCCTGGCTGCCTGGGAGGACGGGCAGGAGGACAGAGTTCAAGGTCAGCCTGGGGGACACAGGAGGCCCTGTCTCAAAGAGAAAAAACAAGGCTTTGCGAGCACCCTTTCCCCAAGCAGGACTCCAGCACTCTTAGCAGGGAGCCTGCTGGCAGTGGAAAGGCTGGGCCCCGCCCTGTTTGGAACCAATCCTGTAGATACACATGGAGGCTGAGCCAGGAAATGGCGATGGTTTCAGAGCTTCAGTCTTAATAAGCACACATCAATAGATCTTCAGCACCGAGAGGAAAGCCTTTCTGACTGCTTGCTTCTCTGTTTGTGTTTTGGCTCCAGCACAAACGGATGCATCGAGGGGTGGACAGCTGAGGGATGTCCGTCGTGGGAAGTGGCTCTCCCTGAACGCTGATCAAACTGTGAGTCCTGGCATCTCACTCGCTCAAGCTGTGTGAAGGTCATGTTTCCACACCAAAGACCGCTCACAAAACGAGCATGCTTGGTGGACACACAGAAGAAACAGCTATCTCAGCCACACTTACATTTATATACATTTTTTTCTTAAAACAAACAAGAACATAAAGTACCTAAACAATAAATAAATCCAAGACTAAACAATGAAGCATGCTATCACTCCAACTTTTTTTTTTTCATTTTGGTTTTTTTTATTTTGGACATTAAGCAAAGAGAACACAATAAAGAATGACACAACCACACTCTGTGAGCCGTCACCCAGAATAAACACATGTTAACATTGTGCCATATTTGCTTTCTAAAAAAAAAAAAAAAAAAAGAATTTGGACAGCAAAGATGACAGTAAAGTCTCCTTTATTGCCTCCTCAATCCTACTGTCTCCACTCCCTCTTCCATGCGCTGCTTCTGCATTGTAAACTGCAGGAGCAGATGTGCCAAGGGATAAGATATAGTATTGCTTTATATTCTAAAAATGTACATGCATCTGTGATGTTAAACATGTCCTATAACTTGCTTTATCATCCACTGTTGTGAACTTAGAGCTCTGTGATTCCTCTTAACTGCTTAATATTTCACCATATTAAAATATCACATTTTAAAAATCTAGTCCCCTGTAGGGCATCCAGGTTTATTATTATTGTTGTTGTTGTTGTTATTATTATTATTCAGTGAACACCACTGTCCACATCTCCTTGTGCACATGTGCCTGAATTTTTCCAGGATGAGTCTAGCAGAACTACCCATCTGCAAGATACACACATTTCCAACTTTATAAATATACCATTGGCCTTCTTTACTGGTTAATGTTCCATTTCTCTATATTTCATCTTATATCTGAGGCTTTCTTACTTAAAACCTATTGTTAATCTAAAGGTTTTAGAGAAAAACTTCATCTTTTTTTTCATTTAATCAGCAAGAGCTATCTTTTTCTGTGTCAATCCAGGGGCTGCTCTGAAAGCACTTTTTAGTGACACCTGTGGAGAAAAGTACACAAATCACCAGGATGCAGCTTGGTGAGCAGTGAGCTGTCCCCAGTTAGCAACACCCGAGTCAAGAGACAGAACATTGCTAGGACTTCAAGATCCATGTCCCTGGCCTCTCCCTCCTCTCCCCAGGACCTGCCACCCCAACTCTGAGCAGCAGAGACACCTTTGCCTGCTTCTCAACTTAACGTAAATGGAAACTATGAGGTATGTTATTCTGATTCCTGGCCCATTTGGGTCCACATAATGTTTATGAGATTCATTTACATTGTTGGTATTTAGCCTGTTTCTAGTACTTCACTCATTGCCATCGCTGGATAGTATTATGCTGCATGAAAATTCCATTTCTCATCTTACATTTGGACTTAATACTCACTCAGAATTGATCTTTGTCTATGGTGTGAGTAGGCACCAAGCTTCTTCCCCCCCCCCCCCGAGTGTGGCTTTCAACTGACCAAACACCTTTTATTGCAAAGAACATGTATATTAAAGGTGTACAATGTGATGTGTGTGTGTATATATGTATATAGGTCCTCCAATCAAGCTAATTAATCACTTCACATAATTACTTTTTTGTGAGACCACTTCAAATCTACTCTTTAAGCATATTTCAAGAACACAATGTATTGACTATAGTCACCATGCTGTACTTCAGAGCTCTAGAACTTACTCTTTGTAAATAAAAGTTTGTACCTTCTGACCAATCCTTACTCCACAGTCCCTAGCAATCATTGTTTTACTATTTCTATGAGTTCTACCTTCTTAGATCCACATATAAGTGAGATCATGCAGTGCTTGGCTTTCTGTATTTGGCTTATTTTGCTTAGCATAATGTCCTCTAGGATCATCCATGTTGTCACTAATCCTAGCCCATTTTAATTGAGTCATAACTTTATTCTTTAGTTGTAAGAGCTCTTCATATATTTTAGATACAAGTCCCTCATCAGATGCAAATATTTTCTCCCATTGTATGCAATGTCTCTTTGCTTTCTTGATGGTGTTCTTTAAAACACAAAAGTTTATTTTGATGAATTCCAATTTTTCTGCTCTTGTTGTTTAGGAGTAATAATACATGGATTTGGGGAGAGATGCAAAGAACTGACAAATCCACAAGAACAGACCAAAGGTGGAATTTATCAAACCCTATCCTTGCTAGTTTAAAACATTTTTTAAAAAATCTATAATGGTACAGACTTTGCTTGCTTTGAAGTAACATTGTGCAGCTTTTGTATAAAACAGACAAATACAATTGTCCAGCTCATTTCCTTTTAAATACACTTAAAATAAGCAGGTGGGTCTATTTCAGATTTTAGATCAAAAACTTTATTGGGGATATATATGGGTATGGTGAATCAGTAATAGATGTTAAGTGGAACCTTCTTCTGGACAGTTTATCAATTGTTGTTTTCCCAGTTGTGTAACCTGCAGTGATAGGATCCTTCAAGAGAAAATATGGTTATAAAATTGTTCAGAATTAGACTTTTAATATATTCTATCATTGCTTTTTTTTTTTGGTGCTATATCCTAGAACTACTGTTCAATCCCAGGCCACAAAGATTCACACTTATGCTTTCTCTTTTAAGAATTTACAGTTTTAGCTCTTCTATTTAATTATTTGATTCATTTTGAATTATTCTTATGCATTTGTGAAATAGGACTTCAACTTCATTCTTTTGTGTATAGATTTCCAGTTGTCCCAGCATTATTTGTTGAAGAGATTATTCTTTCCCTATTTGATTATCTTGGCGTCTTTGTCAAAAACCAACTGACCATAATGGGAGGTTTTTATTTCTGGACTCTTAGTTCTAGTTTATTGATCTATGTGCCTATTCTTATGCCAACACCACACTGGAGCTTAGGAGTGAGTTTTGAAATGAAGGAATCTGAGTCCTCCAACTTTAATTTTTCCCAAGATGGCTTTGGTTACTCTGGGTCCTTTGGATTGCCTTATGAATTTTCAGATCAATGTATGCAGATAGAGCAGCTTGGATCCTGTTAGGGATTGTAGATCAATTCGACAAGTACAGCCATCTTAACAAGACTGTCTTCCGATGCATGAACACTAGATGCTTTTCACCAATTTAAGCTTTCTTTAGGTTCTTTGAACCATGTTTTGTAGTTTTCAGAGGATAGCCTTT